TTATAAAGTTTATTATTCTCCCCATTCCTCTGCTGTTTTTTCCTTCTTTTTTTTTTTTCACCTTTGGGTTCGCGCGAACCTGGGTTCGTCACGGAACCTCGCGCCTGGGTTCGTTTCGGAACCCAAGGGAGGCGTTTGCAACGAACGCGCGTTGGGTTTGTCTCGGAACCCAGGCGCTGGGTTCGCCTCGGAACCCAGGCGCTGGGTTCGTCTCGGAACCCAAGCGCGGGGTTTGCCACGAACCCAAGAGCCGAACGGAAGATGAGGGGATTTTCGGTTTAGGGGGAAAGAAAATGAGGAAGAATACGGTAAGTATTTTCGGTTTGTTTCTTTGATTGGATATTTTTGGTTTGTTTCTCTGATTGGATGAGGATTTTCGATTGTTTCTCTGATTGTCTGATTGGATGAGGAAGAAGAAACAACAGTGCTTGTGATGTTATAAATTGGTGCTTTATATAGTAGGTTTTTCATAAATAAAAGGAAGTGTGAGGATCAAATGGGAAGATCATATCAATTTCATTAATTTAGAAGCGAGAAGCTCTTGCGAAAGTAAGAAATGGAAGCTTCTGGGCTTTGCAAAGGAAAGGCAAGAAGCTGAGCTTCTCAAAAGCTGCAGCAAATTTGGGAAGCTGACCCATTTGGTGCAGCTTGTGCTTTTGGAGCCAAAAAGCTCTTCTCACAATCTGCATCAAACAGGCTCTAAAGTACGCGCTCACTCTCTCAATTGGACTACTACTTTTCAAAGCTTGCATGTCCAGACTCACACAAATGGGCTAAAACCAACTTTTAATCTTTCACTTTACAAAATTGATAGGTTTTAGCTTTTAACTTTATAGTATGACACTTTTAACCTCTTACCTTACAAAGTTGGTAAGTTTTAACCTCTCACCTTACAAAATTAGTAAGTTTTAGCCCCTCAACTTATATTATGACACTTTTAACCCCCTATTCATACGAATTGAAGGAAATAGCTCTTATTTAATATCAAGTTATAATATTTTGTTAGTTCTGTTAGTTGACTGTCAGTTTTGTTAATTGACTGTTAGTTCTGTTAGCTGACTGTTAGCATCCGTTAGCATTCCGTTAATGAAACTAACAAATAAAATTAAATTTAAATTTCATGTTTTTTATAATGAAATGCTAATGGATGTTAACAGTCAGTTAACAGAATTAACAAAATGTTATAACCTAATATTAGGTGGGAGTAATTTTCTTCAATTCATATAAGTGAGGGGTTAAAAATGTCATAATATATAGTGAAGGGTTAAAACCTACCAATTGTAACGTGAGGGGTTAAAACTTATCAAATTTGTAAGGTAAAAAGTTAAAAATATTATATTATATTATAAAATAAAAGATTAAAACCTATTAATTTTATAAATTAAGGGACTAAATATTGATTTTTGCCCGAACACGAATGTGGGGCCTTTGGGCGATTTGAGAATGAGATGGAGCTGCAGAATCACATTCCAGCACGTAATTTTTGGTAAAGAGTCTGTCTCAGCCCAAGTGGTACCAGGATCACCTGTGAAATCCTCTTAAGGGAGGAGTCCTCCGGGACCTCAGGTTCGATTCCTGAGGAGGCCACCTCGGGTCGCTACGGCACCGAGGCCAAATAAACAAATGCGCCCCACACGCGGGGGGGGCCCACGGGCTTCCCTTACAGATCGAATCGAACAATTTCCTGGAAAGTGCTCGTAAGTCACAGAATGGGTATGTTCATGTTGGACCCAAGGAAGGAACATCCTTAAATGATATGCTATAGATTTCTGGTGTTATATCTTGTGCATTGGACTTGGTCATGGCGGAATAGAAAAGATCTGTTTCCTAATGTTCCCCTTTTGCTGTTCCTCTCCATTTCTCCAAGATTGGATGATTTCTGTTTCTTAATGATATGTTGGACTTTGAAGGTAGGGCCAATGCAAAATTAAGGTGAGTTTCAAGTCAATGGAACCACGCGGAGCGAGGTTTGAATTATAAAGGGTCTCTTTTGTTAGATTTTTCGGTGGTAAGGAGGAGGTTTGGAGAGGACTTGGAGGAGAAGGAGAGAGACCTTGGAGTTACCTCGCTTGGTGAGGTCTAACCCATTTTTTTTATTCATCTTCTGTCATTATATAGTAGAAATCACTTAATACATCAACATCACTTTTTTCACCAAATCTTTACCTAAAACAAGAAAATCTACTAAACATTTAATGCAATATTACTTTCAAAGATTTGCTGTCATTTGTGCAGCTCCATGTGCTGTACTTTGCTGTTACTTTGCAGCCTTTCAGTTGCTATTCATTTCAGCCTCATTTCATCAACATTTGCAGCTTCGTTTGCTGCACTTTGCTGCTGCTCTTGGCGCAGCTCTCCCTTCATTTCATTTTGCTGCCATTTGTGCAGCTTTCTTTTCATTTGCTGCTCTTGGTGCAGCTTTCACACCACAACTCCAACA